AGGAATGTGGCATCAGGATTGGTGGAAGACTCATCAAAAATCTGCATTATGCAGATGACACAACCTTGCTTGTTGAAACTGAGGAGGACCTGAGGCATTTGCTGTTGAAGGCCAAGGACTGCAGCCTTCGTTATGGATTGAAGCTCAACATCAGGTAAACAGAGATTCTCACCAATGGGCAGAGCATCATTATAATTGATGGTGAAGAGATTAAAATTGTTAGCAGCTTAAGTTTGCTTGCCTCTGCAATCAACACTTTTGGTACCAGTAGCCATGAAATCAAAAGATGAATTACATTGGGAAAATTTGCTATCAGGGACCTCTCCTCTCCAGAGTACTGGAGAGCAATGATGTCAGTGTAGAGACTAAGGTGTGCCTGATCCAGACAATGGTCTTTGCATGTGTCTCAGAAATCTGGACAATGATTAGGGATGATAGAAGAAGACTTGATGCCTTTGAATTGTGTTTCTGGAGAAAAGTGTTGAATATACTGTGGACTGCTAGGAGAACAAACAGGTTCAGCCTAGAGAGGGTGAATCCATGCTCTCCTTGGAGGCAAGGATTCTGAAGCTTCGTCTGACGTACTTTGGGCAGGTTGCAAGGAAGGACCAATCCTTGGAGAGGGACATCAAGTTTGGAAGGATGGAGGGATAATGCAGGAGAGAAAGACCCTGGATGAGACGGATTGACTGAGTGAGTGACTGGGGAAATGGGTGTGCGTGTGTCAGAGACAGGTTGGCTCAGGATAAAGCTGGGTTCAGAGCTGTTGTACATAGAGTTGTTATGAGTCGCAAGTGACTTGTTGGCACATAACAACATACTAATTTAACAACTGTACCATCAGGGCTCTTTATAGGAAGAACAGTGTGATTAAAGGCACAAGGCCAGAAAAGCAAAGGTTCTTAGGGATATCAAAGCATGTTCATTGGTTAGTGTAATGGATGCATAATAATTAGTACTCAAGCATGACAGCTAATTGCCACTATTTAATTTCTCATTTAATTGTCACAACCTTATGTAATAGGCATTCTTATTGTTTCCCTTTTCTAATAATGGAACTGAGGCTACAGCTGGCTATTGGCAGAATCAGAACTCTAATCCAGAGATCTCTGACTTCAGACTCTGCCCTGTTTATTCTGAATTAGGACTCTGTGTTGATGTATTTGACTGGTAGACTGGAGTTTATACTTAATTTTGAAGGCAACATGAAATTGCTTGTAATTGGAAGATCAGAGTATCATTATAGAGGCTGTACTTTAGAAAGATTGATAGGATAGCTGGGTGTCATTTGGATTGGAAGGAGAAGGGACTAGAGAGAATAGTGCTAATTTCTTGTTTGCAAGCAAAACAGCTCTTGTATCTTAGGCAAAAAAAGGGAGGGATAAAAAATTTTCAGGTTTAATGAGCATTTTATTATTATTGTTGTTGTTGTTATGTGTCATGGAGTGGCTTGTGACTCATAGCGACCCTATGTACAATAGCTCTGAAGCCTGCTCTATTCTGTGCCACCCTTACAGTCTTTGACAAAGCTACCCTCCTTACAAGTCACTGAATCAGTCCATCTCATCGAGGGTCTTCCTCTCTTGTACTGTCCCTCCACCCTTTCAAGCATGATGCCCCTCTCCAAGGACTGGTCCTGCCTTACAACATGCCCAAAGTATGTCAGATGAAGTTTCAGAATCCTTGCCTCCAAGGAGAGCCTGGTTTCACCCTCCCTAAGACGGACCTGTTTATTCTCCTGGCAGTCCATGGTATATTTAATACTCTTCTCCAGAAACACAATTCAAAGGCATCAAGTCTCCTTCTATCATTCCTAGTCATTGTCCAGATTTCTGATGCATAGCAAATAATTGCAAAGACTCTGGCCTGAATCAGGCACACTTTATTCTCCATACTGACATCGTTGCTCTTCAGTTCTCTGGAGGAGGTCCCTGACAGACTTTCCCAATACAATT